CTCGAATGGTGACGAAACGTTTGCAAATCAATTGCCAAGCTCGGCGAACAGATCAACAGCCACCTGATCAATTACCAACCAATACACCCGAGCTACCAATATTCCAAAACGTCATTTACTGTACCTGTAGACATGGCCAACATCATAGGGCAGAATAATGTCCGCACACCATAATCTCGGGACGTGTCGGTCGAATACCGGTATTCGCATAGAGTGAAATGTTCAAATCTTCAGAGGCATCACCGATGAAACAAGTAAATACTAAAAGGGACAGCGTATAGTCTACTAGAGATTCAGAGTGTACGTTGCGACTGGTTTAAACATTGGTTTCACCCGAGGTGTGCGCATAAGGCACCCTAATGTTGATATATTTCTCAGGAATTTAATTTCTAACAACTCATTAATGAGTTCAATTATATGGTTCGGTGGTATGGGTTAGGGGCATCATGGAATTTAAGGATGACATGACGGCGGAAAGTGACGAGATCCCTCTAACACCTAACGTGCCGTAGATGTGTGGTCACGCAATGTATTTACCAATGGAGTCTTTATCCGTATCTCACCTGAGAGTCAACGGCCGAACGACCGCCAGTAGTTTGGGTTCGATCGGTAACGAGTTTATCACTTGGTTCTGCACGCACTCTTTTTGGAATAGAGTACGATGGAGATAGGATCCTATTCAGTTGGGATCAGTTTGCACAATAAAGTAAGTCCAGGATGAAGGTCGATTCCCCTCTTTGCAGATCATTGGGTGACTTCGGTTGAACCAACTCCCCGATTGATGGCTTGGTCCTGCACGCACTCTTTTGGGAGTAGAGTACGATGGAGATAGGACCCTATTCAGTTGGGGTCAGTTCGCACAATAAAGTAAGTCCAGGATGCAGATCGATTCCCCTCTTTGCAGATCACTAGGCAACTTCGGTTGAACCAACTCCCCGATTGATGACTCATAGTCACTGGCCACGCAATAGCGCTTGTAGGACTGTCTTGAGTGCCAGGTGAATCATACACCAAAATGTCCTGCTTAGCTCCCATCTGACTTGTTATGAACTTCACTGTTTCATTCACACACGGTCTCAATAAAGCATGATTTCTTTGAACCAGACTCTGGCATGAGTTAGAAGAGTATTCGGAAGTTCCCCGACACATCCGGCAGTCTCATTTCAAAATTGTATTGGGTCCACCAAGGTTCTTCATTTTTCCCGAAACTTTTAGGTATTTTTTCGGGTATGCTGCTACCCACCGGAGTGCATACAGGGGTCCAGTGGACGTCCGTTGGGCTACAAAAGATCGGTTGTTTTTCTCTGTGGTGGCCATGATGTGAAATTTGAACATAAACACCGGGTGATGGAATCTTGCTGCACCTACCTGGCGAATTCCAGCGAGGACGAAACGCGCAGTAGATTGCCTTCTCGGGATAAACCGCACCTGTTTTACCACCCCATTAGGCAGCCAACTAGGTCAAAGCATACTGACCAGAAGGTCCGTGGTTCGAACTCAGCCCCAGCATCTGGACTGCCCCTGACCAGCCTTGAGCAACCTGGCAGTATCTCAGACCTCATTCTTCCTTTGGGTGGCGTGGCAGCTGGGCACAAAAAGGGTGTTACGGTTGAAAAGTTGCATTTTATTTCTTTTATTATTCCGTGCAAATGTGCATCGCCTCCAAGGGCGAGCTAAGAAGCTATAAGGAGCTGATTCAGACGAACCTTTCGACATCATTGTAAGTGCATCGTCTTCACATTTGTGAATTCTGACCACGCGCTCGTATGGATTCGTTCCTCTCTTTGTGTTTCTGGGCCGCGTAAGGCGTGGACGGTTCGCTTAGCGACTGAGAAACTGGCAGATCCCAAGTTTGGAAGAACGTGCCAGAACCGTTTTCTGAACTCCTCCAATCGCTCCACTGCCGGATGTGAATTCGTGTTGTAACGAGATTTCCATATCCTTACGGTGCGGACAGTTTTGTCTGTGGCACGGCGCTACCAGGTTCGCTCAAGCACTGGATATCAGACACTGGCACCGATTGAATCTCAGATAAATGCTTCCGACGGTCCCAAACACAGTTTGGCTCGACAAATTAAGACCAAGTGGAAGTGAGCGTACATACCAACTGTGAAGTCTGGTGGTCACGGAAGGCAAAGGAAACGAGAGAGGCACAGAAAGCCGTGAATGCCCAAAAATTGCTTCAGTTGATTCGTGCCAACAGTCCTCAGAAGTCACCTGTGAGTAAAGCCATCAACGATCAGTGGTACCAACGCCTGGACCACAGGGCCAGGCATTTGAACAACAATCCTATTGGCTACTCGATGTCACTCATTTGCATCCTGCTCTCTTTAACGCGTGTCCAGCAAAGAATGACCGGGATGTTTGTGAACATTTTTGTATCATTATTTGTGTTTTATTTATTTGTGTTAACGGACTTCAAAAAGCCTCCGTTCACAAGGCGTTGTCCGTCAGGTGTGCCTACCCTCTCCATTCCTGTTTAGTTTTGTGATCGACGAGGTAATGCGACGAACGCTGGAAGGCCTTCAACATCTTAGTGCCCAGATAGCTGCTGACGAAGACCGTGCCGATCTTGAATATGCAGATGACAATCTTCTCGTCTTTGAAGAGGAGGCTCAGACATTTATGGATGAACTGGTCAAAGTCATCCCGTCCTATGGCACGCACTTTGTACCCACAATGTGCAAGGTCATGCTTCTGGACATGAAGTTACTAAATACACCACTTATGATCCAGGGAGTGGCATTCGAAGTTGTGGAGCGTTTTACCTATCTTGAAAGTAGTACTAGTTGAGTGTAGCGTGACAGATGAGGTCGGTGCACAAATCTGTAAGGCTTGTGTCGCGTTTGCTAATTTGAGACACCTATGGCGTCAAAGCGGTCTATCCCTGAATCTCAAGGGACGCGTGTCAGGTTACAGTGCGGGCTGTTTCGTTGTATGACTGAAACTTGGCCTGATTGACCTAAGACTTCTTCAGGTCTTTGGCAATTGTCCTCTCATAACCATAGCTCGTCTGGTTTGATGTCGGCGAATCTGTAACGAGGCAACTAAAAAGCGAGTTTTCGGTTGCACAACGAGAACTTCCATTGAAGAATCTGTTCAACACCAGAAGCTGCGTTGGTTAGGCCATGCCATGTATTGGCCGAAACGTCGTTTGTCGGAGAGAGTGCCGTTTTCCGTGCCCATTGCAGAGTGGCGGAAGGGACAACGGTTGACCTGGAAGTAGGGTTATAAAAGAGAATACGAGAAGTCTGGGGTGCTACTCGCCTTTCAGGATGGTGACCGCGTGATCCACTTTTTTCATGTCTGGAAGCGCTGCAAGATATGGCTTCTGATCACTCTCAATGACGTTCTTGTTGTCAACATCTAGCCAGATTATCTGAGTGTCTGAAGATGTATGCATCTCGGAATTATTGTGGTAGGCCAGCACTAGGTCCATTCCCCGCCCACTTTTATTATTTTGTTCACAATAAGTCCTCCAAACACATTATAGTTGTATGTCAGTGAAGCATTAGTCTAAGCACTGACGTTTTGCTGCTGACGGTGCTATTGATGATGAGGGGGGCAATTTGCACTGTGACCGTTCGAAACCTGTGGCGTCGTCATTTAGCTCATTGTTTGTATTTCTTCTGAGAGTCTGACCCAAGTGGTGCATTGCTTTCTGGAACAGTCGTGTATATCGGTGACAGTTTCAGTGCCAGAGGGAGAAGACTTAAGAAATATCTTTCCAAAATAATTTCACTTGCAAAGTCGAACAGAATGGTTATAGGCGTCCCTATCAATTCTCGGGGGATGTTAACCCTGGAAAATGGGTTGAAATATCGGGGTCTGGGGCACTGACAATCCTCGGTACGGTCGCTTTTTAAATATTGTATTAATAGACGAATAAAGCAGGGGATTTCGGAAATCGAAATTGCTAAATTTAGGTATACATAATGCGAGCGAAATGGGTGCAGACAATCGGGCAAGTGTCCTACCAATTGAACTGTTGACGACACTTGCTCCGCAACACACATGCATTTGAATTTCGTGCGTGGCTCAGATTCATACCACTTATACGTGGACTTCCGATTTTTAATATTCGTTGAATTATTTTCTACAATATATATCAGTTCGTGTCGGTGCCCTTCAGGTGGCTGAACGATGCCTGGCTCATCGTGAAGTCACAGGACGCTAACAGGTCACTTGGCAGAATCCTGACGAAGCGAGGCCCAATCGCGTAATTATGATGTGCGGAATGCCGGTAACTAATCCTTCCAGCAAGCGAGAGACCGGTGGCTTTTCTCCAGCTTCGAACCGCATCCTTTCATTCATACCATGTATTTTTAATGCTTGTATATTTACTACCCGCGTTCAGCGATTGTTCTTTAGCAGTATAGGTGTTGAGTTATTTTTTGCGTATTATTTGGCTTGCAAGACACATCATGATTACATACAGCATCCTCCCCATCAGGGGATCCGTCATCCGAAAAGCCAGTGGGGATTCCTCCCTTTATTTTTCAGATGACTGGTTTACCCGGAGATTCAGGGACAAAGGCTGGTGTAACTGAACTCAGCTCACTCGTGGCAAATAAACCGAACTCCGTTGAGATGTCTATTCTTGAGTTGGTTCATTTTATCCATCACCGTGATGTTACCCGGCGCGGTCAGCTAATTAGTCTCTTACTTCATGCACAACTTCTTTCTCGAGGAGCGAGACCAACACAGAGCGAAGGACAGTCGCAGTTTGCTGTGTTGGCAGAAGAAGTTTTAAACAGTGATCCCATTCGCATTCCGTATACGCTCGTACCCAGACCGAAAACGGAAACTTTGGCCACCGTAGCGAGTCAGGTGTGTGAAACAATCTGTCCGTTTATTTTTGGTCACTTTCATACTTTGCTGTGTTGTTGCACACCTATGCATTCCACCATAAACAATCTTCCCGAAGTGATTTTTAATAATTGACGGTAACATACTCGTATATGACCCTGAACGTTAACTCGCAAACACGAGAGCGAGATGAAATTTATTAGAAGTGGATTTGGGGTATCTTTAGAGTCGTTGTGGTCGAGATGGCTCAGTGGTTAGAGTGCGAATTTACTGACCAGATAGTTCGCGGTTCAAACCCAACCTCTGGCCCTCGACTTCCCCTGTCTAGGCTTAGGCAACCTGGCAGTATCCCAGCCCTCGCGCTTCCTTCGGGTGGTATGGCAGCTAAGCAGCGGTTACCGCTAAACGGTTATTATCTCAGTGTTGTTGTAATGCATCTTCAGGAATCGCCGAATTTCACAAATAAAGTTTCCTCCAGGTTGGGGGTTGGAACATGTATGGCGACGTGTTCCGTAGAAAAGTTAATGCATTTGCATTTCCCCGCCAAACCGCCGCCTTGCGGTTAGGCTTTTGAGCCAAAGGCTTTGGTTGAGGACCCTAATCGTCCTGCTGTCTACGTGTGGGCGCCCTGGCAGTATCCCAGCCCTCGTACAACCATGACCTACACAACTAACACAAATAAAGTTTAATCGAAACGACTACGGTGCTGCTTTTGAAAGGCGTACCCTTCGGGACCGACTTAAAGCACTCCATCTTGTGAGGTAGTCGAAACGACCACGGTGCTGCTTTTTAAAGGCGTACCCTTCGTGACCGACTTAAAGCACTCCATCTTGTGAGGCACGCGCTGTGGTAGCATTTCCCTGACATCTGAAGTGCATAAACCGATATGAACGAGAGTACATTCGGGATTATTTCTACTGGTTTTCTCAAAATAATTATGGTTTTCCAGTTGCCTCAATAAGATCTGACAATACTTGCGCCCGGCTTCTGTTTAATACAATAAGATATTCAGAGAATAAGCAAGTTTGAAGTACAGAACGCCTTTACTGTTCGCTTTTTCTTGGTTGGTTGTGGTGCCATTGCTCTCCCTTCTCCAATTATGCGAAACGGTTCAGTTCCTTGCTGATTTCTACGCAACTTACCCTGTCTCTGAGCTCAAGGGCTCGTCTGACGGAACTTTGAAACATACTGGACTGTGTTCATAATTCGAATCTCCCATCTTCCACAATTAGAAAAAAACTTTTCATCTCCCAACAGAACCGGACTTATTATGCGCCATAAGCTACACTCTTTAACCCGGGACTGTGTTCTAGGGCTACTTGGACAGAAATGCATGTTCAGGTTTTCTACTGTGAAATATGTACATGGCGTGCGGTATTCGACCAAAAAGGGCTATCTCGACCATACCCTGATCACCCCTGCGCAAGTCATAGCGTCTTAGAATGTCAGTTCCATGGGCGAATAACTCCTATCATCAGTGATCGTCGTATCTATTCAGTGATATTAACTCCCAGCTTAACAGTTTTGAACGAACTGTCACTTACCGAATAGCAAAAACGGTAGTTTTAAGCATGGAATGGCATGTACACGAAAGATGCGTTTCAGCCTGGATGGCCTGATTGTCCTCTCCATGAATCCACTTCTCTGGAGGACAGTCTATCCCACGCAGCGCGAAAACTGGGACCGAGCCATTTCGTGTTTCCCATAGAAGCGCTCTTTTGGGGGGCAACACTGTTCTTGGTTTGGGTTTACTTTGTCGTATCCATATCTGCCACCTATCCCACCAACCAACACGCCCCTTTTGTTCACTCTAGTTACAACTGTCAGTGGTGGAAACAGACGCTCAAATATTCATCAGTCTAACCGACACTACGACGGACAAATTTGGACACGTTGAACTATCAGGTTTGGAACATGTGCGCCTGGATTGTGTCTCTGAGTGTGCCGCGGGACACTGGAACACTGTCTATCCACAGCTGGATGAACTTCTCAGTATTTTTGAAGAGAGTTTGTGGAAAGCCGTCCTCCCATCACCACCACTGAATCGCTTTGGTGAAACGGAAAGAAAGAAGGACCGACGTGACCCTGGCCCACCTCCGGATGATGTGAGTTGTTTCTTTTTTGTCTAACCTTTCGCAACCCGTTTATCAAACCAGTGGGTTAAAGTTCTACATGCTACAGCAGCTGGATTGCCGGGTTTTTAATATACCTATTTCACCATACATGACTGGCGAGTGGGTAAAAAACCAAGTGTCCATCAGCTACACAGGAATTTGCTACCAGTCTTGTCCTTAGCGCCAGGATGAACCTTTAGCGTCTACACCAAGTGCAACCTGCGAGCCTGCACAGATGTGAGAGCTGCTATCAGAACCCGAGGGTACACAGATATTGTCCTCCTAGTCTGATGTATCTGTCCTAACGCCGCCAGTCGGTCCACGAAGTTCAGCTATTTTGATCTGCTAGAATGATGTGTCAGATAAACGTCAAAAGTTGTTCAGGGTTGAGCGTCATGTGGAGACGAGAGACAGGACTTAGTGAGGGAGGTGCAGTAATCTTCGCAGATCGAAAAACTGTTCTAACCGTGATACTTCGTACATTCAGCTTCTTGGCGTTTTGCATCTTCGGACAAATTAACTTCGCAAACGTGCAGGGACTAAGGTTTATTCGGTCTACGCCTGGTAACTTAACTTATAGTGCAATGTTGATATCAGAGTCACTTGGGCAGGATTTTGTTGATTGTGGTGAACTAATTGGCTTGTAAATTAGCAGAGCAACTCCTTGGTGCATTTTCCGTCGTACAGTTAGTGTCGACCTTGGTGTACATAAAAGTGCCAGGAAAATATTGCTCAAATCGTATACCACTCCTCCCCAAGGTAGCCTGCTTCTGAAAAGAGTGCGGTATTGGTTATTCTCGAGAGCGCATGCTTTTTAGTAGGAGCAATGGACAATTTTTTGGGAGCTGTCCTGGTGCTGTTTGTTCGTTTTAGTGAATGGTGTATCAGATGCTGCTGAAGATGTGCAGGTAAGAAAGACTGTTAGCACATCCTTGGTTAGTTTCCAGTATGAGGATCTTGTTTGAAATTTCAGTTGAGACTTCGTCTTGCTGTTACAGTTAATCTATGCTGAAAAGCTAAGAAGTGCTTTCCAGTATAAATTGAATTCACGCAATCTCGGTTGAAATCCCTTGCTAGCCCTTGTACGATAAACGTCCATATAGGCTGGGGTAGGTAAAGTACATGTTACGAAATATGTTGGAATCTTGGCCTTGGAACTATCTAGTCCCATGACGAAAGCAGACAGCTGAATACCATTATTTTTTTCCGAACTGACTTTTGGTGTGGTTGTACAACATTTTGTGGGCTAATGCGCAAACTGGGATACCACATCTCTTGTACTCAAGTATGTAGATGAATGAAAGTTCAGTCATAGGGCACTGAATAAGTTGACCAAAAATATTCAAGTCCTTCTGTAATTTTTAAACAACGTGATTACTGCTGATTCCTCAGAGACATTATCTACTCTCTGGGGAAATCAAAGAGGTTGTTTCTTCTTGGTGGCCTCTTTGAGGGGATAGCTGATGCGATACTGGGAATAGCCTTTGACGAAACATTACCCAGGTCGTACCGGAACTTGTCTTGACCAATTCGCGGAGCACACACTGTGTTTCTCTAAGAACACCTGCTTTGGTTTACGCTCCTTTTTGCCCACAAGATTAGGCCTTATTTGTGAGTAACCCCTCTCTTCTCAATACAGTGACAATACTTTTTGTGAGTAATCCACACTATATTTCCGATCGGCTATTCAGTTTCCTTTTTGCCCACAAGATTAGGCCTAATTTGTGAGTAACCCACACTATATTTCCGATCGGCTATTCAGTACACCGAACTTTTCCTTACCAGCCACAACGGTATCCACCAACTGGGTTCGACCCAGTGCGGCCGACAGCACCAGGGTTTCCTTTTCCTGACTATGGTCGAAGTGATCTGGACCCGTTTGGCTCGTTGGGTGGACGTGGAGGAATGATCCTAGACCCTAGACGTCCACTCGGTGGTTCCCCATTCGGGTCCGGTGGTGGGACATTCATGGGGGGACCTGATGTCCTTCCGCCTGGAGCAGTCCCCCCAGGAGCGAGGTTTGATCCGTTCGGACCAGGTGTAATCCCACCTCGACCGAGGTTTAGCAATCCCCAGCGCGGTCAGCCAGATCCGGACCATGCACTTCCACCCGGCTTCGAGGATGTTTATCTGTGACAAAATTATTTTGTTCTAGTCTGCTTTCATTCTCAACTGCCACTTTGCTTTAATTGCAGTTCAAATTTTCGAATATTTTTGTTTACATTATGCAACTTTGCAAAGCTATCGTTTTTGGTCATCGTCTGGGAAAAAGTTTGTCTTGAAGTTTCGTAGGATTTCCATGCTTAACTCAGGTGTTATACAAGATAGCTTAAGGTGATACTGTCGGCTTGGGGTACTAGCATTACTAGTAGCAGTATTGCCAGTATTCGTTTGGTGACGCGGTGGTCGGGCTTGGGCGCTACAGTCGTCCTGTAGGCTTGACAGGCTAAACTCTCATTCCTTGGTTGTCATGGAGGCAAGGGAACCAGCAGGTACATGTATTATTCCCCACTCATCAGATATTGGTCCAGTTCAGTTAACTACGGGATGACTTCCGCGATGTGGCTGTCTTTTTATTCTCCATATTCTCGTAGTTCGAATCCGCAGCGCGGAAACCAAAGTACTTCTGGAGCTAAGCAAATCACTGGCAGTGAGCTATCTGGATATTTGTTTGAGATAATGAATGAAGGAAATTTTTCGTTGCCTTGGTGGAGATTTTCTAGGCGACTGTTGACGTGTACGGCTCAGGAATCAACAATTACCATTTCGACAGCCTCGGCGAAATGGTTATGTAGAATGTACTCTAGGGGTTGCGGACTTCGCATTAGACCTATCACTACTGATCTTGCCGGTTGAGGCTTAGTCTGCACATTTGGACCACAGATTCTAACAGTAAGCTTTTTAAGTTCTGGAATACAAGATGCAAAATGTCAGAATACTTTGGCAAATTAGTAGTTCTATGTACAATCGGAACGAGAGTGGGTAAGTTCCAAGGATAACTTGAGGATACATTGGAACCTAGGGTTCAACAAACTGGTTTCGAGTCATCACAGTTACGTGCTCACGGTACATATCTTCGAATGTCAGTCCCAGCTGTCTCGCCGCGACGCAGTTCACTGACCCGTAGATTAATCCTGGAACTGCAGCGATCAAGCCGGCCACAAGCATTTGTCTTCGGCCACGACCCATGCAGTAAATCGCGCAAGCCGATCCTTGTAATAGAAAGGTGGCAACAGGGGAAAGAAGCTGTTTCAAGACTGAAGCATTCCGGAAACCCGTAAAACAGATCAAATGGCTTTTCTGAACAAAGCATAACTCCCGCGATATACAATTTTCATTTACAATTGACGAAGTGACCAAGGTCGACTTCGGTTGTCATACGTTTACCTCCGGGAAGGGCGCTTTTCCGGATAACTTACCACAACAGCTAGCAAACTAGACTTCCAGTTCAAGCTGACTACTGCTGCGATAAGGACAGCAAAATTTGGACCGTATGGACAATGCCACCAGAGGTTTAGTGGTTAGCATTAACGGCGTTGGGCGAGGTTTCATTTACAATGTCAGGAAATTAAACCAGCTGACGAGTTCCCACCTACCAAGGCACCAGTCCATTTGGCAGAGATGAGTTGTTGATTAATTATTATAATTGATTTGGCTCTGTTACTTGTTGACCCTTATAACTCCCTCGTCTCTTTTCATACGTACTAGTAAATTCAACAACTGTTCATGATTTCTGCCGAGCGTCATATAAAGTTGCATACATTGGTCAAGAGGACAGATCGCAGAAAGCAAGCATTGTTAACAACCTTCGTTCTTATTGGGACTTCCTTTAGTTGGGCCCATGTCACATGAACGCTTGCCTGTATCTGGTGGTTTCTCCAGTCCGCCCTGGTTGGCTCTATCTCACAAGTCACAGTTATCCTTGCGTCTAGCACTACACGAGTAGTGATTAATAGGAGATTGCTTCCACGTCTTACGATTCACTTATAGTTAATTTCACGTATAAAACCATTCACTGATGATATCTGCTCATTATCGTTTATCTCAAATAAAGAAACGTTTGCAGCACATTCTGTTGAAGAACGTCGTTTTCGGGAGGTTCAGCTGGGATTCGTTGGGTCTCGTTGAAACCAACTGTGTGCAAATGACCGCCCTTCGCGAATCGCATGTAATTTGGGTCCAACTAGAACTTAGGACTGATAGAAACTAAGGGAGCGTACCTACGGTATGAGTTCCAAAAAAGGTGAAACTGATCATGGGTTGTCGAGGGATTTTTATCAGCCTATTAAGTGATGTTCCTTCAGGAAAAACTTTCTCCTTCTATCCAATGCTGCAATCTTTACTTCGTCGAAATTTCACAACCTGTAGGACAACGGTGGACATACATCAGGGCGAGAGCACGAAACCAGCTACTGATGCGATAAAACGGTTCAAAGTGAACTTACCCCATCCAGCAGCATTTTCCCACCAACTCGTCTTTCCTTGCCAGGCTGTCAGTAGTAGGGGGAAGGAACTGAAGGTCGGAAAAGACAAGAACTGTTAAAATCTGGGACCATGGGGACCCAAAGCATGTGGGATTCTGCTAACAGCAATACCTTGCTAGATGGGTTTAACACAAAGGTTGTTGCCGAACGCATTCATAGCGGACACTGAAATTTTTCCGCTGGATCGTCTGTCCAACAGCCCTTTCACAGGCTAACGAGTTATCAGAGGGCACAAAGGAAGACCAAGCGCTAGTGCCGGTTTTTCAGGCCACCGAATAATCAATCTGGGAGAAGCTGGCAAGTAGAGTAACGGACATGCCGGATACTCGTGAGTAGTGTCCAGTAAAATTTGATCCATGCCACCCTTTTGCACAATCCTCACGTCTAGGTACGACTGCTTAGCGATTTCAATTGATGCGCAGAACAGGACAACGAAAGGGATTATGTGAGGATGCTAATCACATATCCTTCTCGGCGCAGTTGAACAACCCTTACCAGATGGAAACGCTAACCCAGAGAGATATGGACCTGACCTCGACAAGGCGGTATATTGTTTCAAAATAAGCCCGAGTTTGTGATCATTGTCTAGTGTTCTATCGGTAAGTTCACTGGCGTTGTAATAATACCTATATCTACGACCTCTAGAGTACTTTGAAGAATCTGCGTCCCTCCTGGAAGTTCAGTGAGGAATACCGTACAGCAGTGAAGCATCGGTGTTCAACACTGGTCTCATGCTGTCGATGATGATTACCGTTCGGCGCAGTAATCGCGTCAGTCATGGAGACTGGGAAAATAGGTAAAGCTTATAGAGTGTCACTCTGGTTGAGGCAGTGCCCCATTATTGACAGTCCTCTGGTTGATCCTGCAAAATAAATGTGTGCCGGCGATTGGAAGAAGTTTTGTGTCAATAATGAGCTGCAATCTTCCACCGCTTCGAGTCAGAGAACATGTTCTCGGAAGTCCAGAAAAGTGGATAAATTCACGGACTCGGCCAGCACCCACCGCTCAAACGTGGATGTATTCGCTCATTCTCATGTGATAATTCAGGCGTTGATGGTTCAGGGGTGAGACGTTCGCCTCATACAACATATATTCAGACTGTCAAGGATGTTGACTGCCTATTCGCACCAAAAAAGAGACCTTAGTTCAGTGCCTCGTAATTTGGTGTGAACTAACAGGAAAAATCACACAAGAGGAGCTATGTGGGAACAAACTTTGCTAACGGTAATTCGACCGGTCGATAGGTTTCAGTTGCGACCAAGCAAAAGCCGCTAATACGCGCCTAGCTAAGAAGTCATTTGTGCTGCACAAAATTGATGTGTGGCTCAATGGTTAGAATAAAAATGTCAACTGTATTTCAGTTTCACTGTTGGAGCCTAAAGCCACCATATATCTAGGTCATGTAAGGAGTTTGAACGGTTTCATTTATACAAATATTAGTGGTCGATGGCAGTTTGCTGAAACTTACAACACCAGTACCGAACGTCAAAAAGTGAATGGCAATCTGAATAGTAATGCAAAAGGAGGGAAGGCCAAAACATAGCCAAGAGCGCTAAAATCTGCAATACCTCCGTGCGGATGATTTCCCGTACATTTTTGAAATAAGTAGATCAAGTCAGATCGAATTGCTAGAAACGTTGCCACAGGAGGGAGGAACCGATATTATAATGATTTGAACGAAAATCTACAGATGTATGCTTACTAGCAACCGGCGGCTAAGAAGGTGGCTTTCAACCCGGTGGACAGTCCGAAAGTTATGGCTTTGAGAGATGAATAGTCCGCGGCCCGACGCTGGAATACAGAACCATAAAACCGGAACTGGTGGATAGAGGAGTACTGAATACTGAATGATTCGAAGAGAAAATCTGAACTATGGGACGAGAATCAGGGAACAGGAGTGGCCTTTTTGTGACACGTGAAGAAGCACAGTGACGTTAACTTGACATGGTGCAACGAGATTTATTCGTACAGCTGAGCAGCATTTGAAACAAACGCAACAGCGATTGGGTTTAGGGTCGATATCTAGCTGCAGCGAATGAAAGTCCGTCTAGCAGTGGAGAGCATAGCGTACCTCGGAGCGACGACTTATATACCTCTGGATCTTTCAAGCCATACTGAGGTGTCCAGAGTCGATCAATGCTGAAGTCCGACAGACACCATTTTGGCCACCGCGGGTCAAAATTCTTCAGGGTTCATGGGCGATACACTGACCTGAATGCCTCCGTTCGCGTTCACTCCGGACGTATCTGTGCCCGGGGGAATATGGTAGTACGTCATGCTTCAGGTTGCTCGGTTATCATACAATGAGTTCTACATGTCTCCTCTCCCAAACATTTCTTACGGATAAATGGTTTCTTCCAGTAGATAACTGAACTGCAATCTTAGCTTATGGAGGGAACTAATCTGTTGACGTAATCGCCGAGACCTGAGGAACAATCCGTTTTGACGCCTGATCACGTGGAGCGAGTCTGCCGAGCGATTCGGATGCTATGCTAACTCCAGGTTACAAAACACATCAAGTTCTCAAGAACACTAACGTGGCCCTTGATGTACATACGGGGTACCAAACGTGTTGATGTGTACAGAGAGCTTCCTGACTACGGAAGCCACAGGATAGCGATGATAAAGGGGATTGAAGTTTGCGACCAGCGTCCAACATAACCACCAACTGCGTGAATGAGTTTGAGAAGGTATCAGACCATACAAAACTCATTTGAACACTGCCATGCTCCCCAAGGTCATATAATGTCGAAGTATTTTGTGGGGAAATCGACAAGGTTCATCGCTTGTCACTAATTTGGACAGAATAGGTTCCTCTCATCCAAAATTGACGACAACTTATCTTTTACTACTAAGTTCTGATGTGTGTGTAAGATTAAATGATAGCAATGCTTCGTACCTTTGCTATCTCACGTGTTCTCCATGCAGTGAGCCGATTTGCCCGAACAAATTCGTCGTAAGCGGTTAGCAAGCGGGCGAATCCTACACCAACTCCCACGATACAGCCAATGGCCAGGGGCAGTCGGATGGCTCTGGAACCAGTTTTGCTTAGGTCCGTGTCGCTCAACGTGGGACTGAAAAAATGTTACAAGACAGTAAACAGCAGTGCCATGTACTGGTGAAATGTTTGTTTAAGCCGGATGCTAAAGTTGTGCAGCACTTTTGTAGAATTAAAGCCAGTCAAAGGAAAGCCGAAAAATGGTTGCTGCTTCAGAACAAACAAAAGCACATGCTAAGCCGTTAAAAGGAATTGTCCAGAGGAAACATTCCATTCATATGATTGCTGAAAACTCGACAGCCCCCGACCGGTTCCACCCCTTTTGGGACTCATCCCCGAGTTTTCGTCAACCTTAAGTTCCACCTAAATTGAAATTATACGCAATTCACGAAATACAGTCAGTTGCATACAAATCTGATTTTAACGAAAAACGCAGCTGAATCACAGCGGAACCTATCGTTCATCAAGTTCTTCAACGTATGTGCTGCGCAAAGGCCGCCTTATGTTTCATTTGGCTACGTACGTTTTCTGCGGCGTTACGGATCGTTCAGAACAAAATGTATGTGAGGGATTTCCTGACAGGTTCATTGGAAACATCAAATGGCATACCACAAGAACTTCTCTTAATTTGTCCTAGACCATCTGAGAAGAGTAAACTGAAGTGGACATCACCTCGCCCACTAGCTCAGCACTGAGGTATTAACCCAGCAATTCATGCATCAACCTCTCACGTCATATTCTGATGTTTGTTTCTTAAATGTAAAGTGCGATTGTGACCTTATGAACGACATAATCATTTGTAGAGGGCCCATGATGAAAAGTGATAAATCTGGTGAAGTCGAAAAAGTGTGTTACAGTCTAAAAATGAATCGCATACAGGTGAAAGGAAGAAGGCCTTCGCTGCGGAGTATTTATTAGAAAATGCCAACTGACCAGTTACAGACTATTGGACAGGGAGGTAACTCTCATATACATCTTATTTACAAAAAGTGAACATCCATCTTCTCTTGAACGCGTCTTCCTGAACTTTCCTGGATATTCATTGACTGTTGCTCAAATCCAAGCAAATTCTACAAAGCGACTCCATAAATTCCGCAATGGATCTCCCTTCTCAAGAGACGCAATGCGAATTTACAAGAAAACATGCTACTCACATGCCTCTTCCACCAGAAGTATCACCGTTACACAGGTAACACATGCTAGGTAGTAACTCATCATAGCACCTTACCAGCCTTCATTGTTGTGGATATATCTTAATACAGCACTTGATTGCAGGGAGATTTTGCAACTGGCACTGCAGTGTTGCCATTCATTTGATGAAGTAGGTAAGTTTCGTGGCTACACTGACCTCCTTGGATTTGTTGGTCCATGCAGGTGTCCAATCATATCCTTACTTTTCTACTCACCGTGCAGATGACGCGATAAATTCAGTGACTTTATCCCGTACCTCCAGATCGTGGTTTCAGAATCAACCATCATACAGAAATAGCAAGTAATGTCAACAAACTATTGTGGCTGAAAAGAGCATACGTGAAACCAGAAGTTAATCGATGCAGCCTTGTCGTATTTCGTCATACTATTGAATTGGCCTGAAGGTATCAATAGAAACCCTTGAAAAAAGTTTATAATACTGCTATCAGGTGACAAAAAGAGAAGAACAATAAACACTTGGACCATTTCAGTAAAACTGATGGAGAAAAGTACTCCTTGAATGGGGACTCCACTGGAATTCATCCTAACCACCGTAATATGCCCCACATCATCGTGTACATTGACAGTAGAGATTGAATGCAACAATGTTCTTTTTGCGATGTTCCAATCTACACTACTGCCAGTATTGTACCAGGAACCATACAACCCATGCGGATTCGTGCTCGAGTTACTATTCGTGTTTCTTCATTATGTTTCCGTCATTTTCAGGCCAGTCCTCAACTCTTCGTCTATGCATGAACCCCAGTTTCTTCTCAAAAACGTATGATGCTTAAGTTACCTCTGCACCGACAATCAAACTACAGCGTTTCCCAACCTTAATTAAAATGTAAACATGTGTAAGTCGTTTACTTTTACACCAATCTGCGGTACACTCCAAATAAGCATGTTCACGCAGGTGACAAAACAGAGAAGCATAAACAGGGCCGTGAAACAGTGCCCGGCTGCTGCCATCTTATGACTCATGTCCCAACCGAATCATGTGTTACGATGAGTTAAAAACGAAGCTCCGGG